GGCATTTATACTTTTTAAAAGCATCCTAGATGTTTCTAATATGCAGCCAGGGTTGCAAACCACTGACTATAATTTCAAGGGAGTTAAACTTGAACAGCTCAAAATGACATAAGTGTGTAACCAATTACATTCAGCCTCAATAACTGTTGCTAACTGATCCTGGTGGGTGTTGGTCATGGAAAATAGCTAGTTAGAGGAAGAAATTAAGTGCGAGATCAGAGGAAATTTCTTGTGGTGAGGTGGTATAACAGAGCAGAATGGGTCAGACTTGGGTTGCATTCTATTGATGCGGAACAGGCAAGCCCCAAAATTGGGATTTAGCCTAGAAGGGTTCTTAGCTTCACCCAGAAAGGAATTCAAGGGCCAGCCAGTGGTGTTAAATAGCACCTTTTATCGAAATAGCAGTGTGCAGCAGCAGCAGAGGTACTGCTCCTTGCAGGGTAGGGCTACCCCATAGGCAGTGTGCCCGAGTAGCCGCTCAGAGGCAGTTCTACAGTCACATTTATACACACTTTTAATTATATGCAAATTAAGGGGCGCTTTATGTAGAAAATTCTAGGAAAGGGGCAGTGACTTCTGGGAGTCGCCATGGCAATGGTAAACTGACAAGGTACACTGCTGGCAGTGTCTTATGGGAGGTGCTTCCCATCACACCTGTTTTAGTTAGTCCTCAATTTGGTCCGATGTCCCAGCCATTCCTCTGGAGTCAGGTACTGCTTCCTACCTCACTGTCACTTGGCCAACTTGGCCCAGTTACAATTGACTTCGGCCTCAGTTTCTTCATCTGTAAAATAGAAGCAATAAATCTACCGTGCAGGGTTGTATGGATCACAGATAATGGATGCTAAATGCCTGCTAGGTCAGTTGGTAGGTGAAGTGCAACCCTTAGTAATAACAAAGACCTTACTTTGAAGAACTTATTCTAAAGAGTGGTAACCGAGATGTGTCCCTATGATGACCTGCTCAGGCCCAAAATGAAGGAATCGCAGTAATCCCAGCACTTTGGGAGGCCGAGGCGGGCGGATCACGAGGTCAGGAGATCGAGACCATCCTGGTAAACATGGTGAAACCCCGTCTCTACAAAAAAATACAAAAAAATTAGCCGGGCGTGGTGGCAGGCGCCTGTAGTCCCAGCTTCTCGGGAGGCTGAGGCAGGAGAATGGCCTGAGGAGGCAGCAGAGAGAGCAGTAGGGGCTCCTCTGCCTTCCAGAATTGACCAAGGCTGAATGTGAAACTTCCGTGGTCTTAAAGCCTCACCCCAGGGAAGAGGCCCTGTGGCACTGAGGGAGGAGCTCTACACACACACACACACACACGCACACACACGCTGCTTGCAGAAGAGAAGGAGAAGCAGGTAGGGGACTCTACAAAAAAGAGAAAAGGAGAAAAAGAAGAGGACCTTTATTCTCTTTTGCCCCCATGTGCCTGGGATGGAGATGCTTCTCCACCCAGCCTACGGCAAACCATCATTACAGTTCCCAAGTCCACGTTCAGCCACTGTGGAAAACACGGGACTTCCTTGAAAAGCAGGCTTAGAACACTATGTCCCACTTTCAACATCAAAGAGGACATCATAGTAATCCTTTATTGGGCTCAGCACTTCACAGTTGATCTTGAGCATTTTGGAGTCCATTTGGGCTTCATAACACTCCTTCCAAGTGGCTGCAGCAGGAGACCTAGTTTCCAAAAGGGAAAACAGAACTGGCTCAAAGGACTAAGAGCTGGAGAGGAGCTGAACCAGGGCTCCAGTCTTGATAGGACTCCAAGGCCAGTGGGTGCTTTTTCAAGATCACCAATGACAGCTACCACTTTTTGGGCACATTCTCTGTGCGAGGAAAGTCCAGTAGTAGGTGTTCTATGTAGGCTATGTAATTTGATTTATTCCACTCCCCTCACAACTCTAAGCCATAGGAATGAGCAGGCCCACTTTACAGATGCTGGAAACAAGTCTTGACAAATGAAATGAGTTGTCCAGAGTCACAAAGCCTGTTGGTGGCAGAACTGCAACTTGGTCCTAGGACTGCTCACTTTGATTTCAGTTTCCTCCTTTTGTAGCGCTCCTCCATAGCTAATGGCCACAGCTACACAGTGGTACCTACTCTAGTTACTTACCTGTCCTTCATGACCTCACCTAATCCCTTGGAATCTATTTACTTCTGTGTAAAATGGGGATAATAATATCTATAGTATAGGCTTGTAAGAATGACATAAGATCATTTTTGCAAAGTACATTGTAGATACATTTAAGTGTATCTGTATTTACAGTATACTTTAGCCAGCGGTGATGAAGAGCCTGGGGTCAGAATGCTTAGGTTCAAATGATTTTAACCTCTCTGTGCCTTAGTTTTCTTGTTTGTAGAATGGGGGTCTACCTACCTACCTCAAAGGGTCATTGTAAGGAGTAAGTAAAGTAACCCAGGTGAAGGCTACACACAGTAAGTGCTCAATAAATACTAGCTACTATATATTATACATATATGTGTGTATACACACACACACACACACACACACACACACTGTGAGTTCTGTTCCTTGTACCCTCTTTGTTTATTTAGAGACAGGGTCTTACTCTCACCCAGGCTGGAGTACAGTGGTGCAATCTTGGCTTACTGCAATCTCCACCTCCTGGGCTCAAGTAATCCTCCTACCTTAGCCTCCCAAGTATCTGGGACTACAGGCACATGCCACCATGCCTGGCTAATTTTTGTAGAGACAGGGTCTTGCTCTATTTCCCAGATTGGTCTCAAACTCCTGGGCTCAAGCGATCTGCCTGCCTCTGCCTCCCAAAGTGCTCGGGTTATAGGTGGGAGCCGCCACACCCAGCCCCTTATACCCTATTTAATAATCCAATTTGTCCTGCAGTCCCCTGTACCATACTCTGCTTTTCCCCCAGTAATAGTTATCATCTTCTAAGATAATGCAATTAGCCACCTGCACTCCCTTTTACCACCCTCTACTTTCATTCTTTTTTCTTTTTTTCTTTCTTTTTTTTTCAGAGAAAGGGTCTCATTCTGTCACTCAAGCTGCAGTGCAGTCATAGCTTACTGCAGTCTCAAACTCCTGGGTTCAAGAGATCCTACCCCCTTAGCCTCCTGAGTAGCTGGGAGTATAAGTATGCACTACTATGCTTGGCTCATTTAAAAATTTTTTGTACAGGCCGGGCGCAGTAGCTCACGCCTGTAATCCCAGCACTTTGGGAGGCCGAGGTGGGTGGATCACGAGGTCAGGAGTTCAAGACCATCCTGGCCAACATGGTGAAACCCTGTCTCTACTAAAAATACAAAAATTAGCTGGGCATGGTGGTGCGTGTTTGTAATCCCGGCTACTCGGGAGATTAAGGCATGAGGATTGCTTGAACCAGGACCTGGGAGGCAGAGGTTGCAGTGAGCTGAGATTGCGTCACTGCACTCCAGCCTGGGCTACAGAGCGAAACTCCCTCTCAAAAAAAAAAAATTTTTTTTGGTAGAGATAGGATCTTGCTATGCTGCCCAGGCTTCTACTTTCATTCTCCAACATAGTTTATCTGCCTATTTTTTTTTTGTTTTTTGAGACAGAGTCTCGCTCTATCGCCCAGGCTGGAGTGCAGTGGCCTGATCTGGGCTCACTGCAAACTCCACCTCCCGGGTTCACGCTGTTCTCCTGACTCAGCCTCTTGAGTATCTGGAACTACAGGCGGCCACCACAACGCCTGGCTAAAATGCCCGGCTAATTTTTTTGTATTTTTAGTAGAGATGGGGTTTCACCGTGTTAGCCAGGATGGTCTTGATCTCCTGACCTCGTGATCCGCCCGCCTCTGCCTCCCAAAGTGCTGGGATTACAAGCATGAGTCACCGCGCCTGGCCTTGTCTGCCTATTTTTATTGCTTATTGTCTGTCTCCCTCCAGGACAAGGATTTTGTCCTTCTCTTCAGAGGTATTCCCAGCACCTACAACAGTGCCTGGCTCATAGTAGCTGCACAATACATATTAGCTACTATAGTAAAGTCTACCTGACTACCCTATTTAATAGAATATTCCCCACACTCAATCTGAATTCCTGATTCTCTTTAACCAACGTTTTTGCCTTTTTTTGCAATAGTACTTATTGCCGTTTAAGACACTCTGTAGCTTATTATTTTGTAAGTCTCATGAAAGCAAGGATTTTTGTATGTCCCACCTCCTCTCCCCTCCCCTTCCCTCCCCTCCCCTCCCCTTCCCTTCCCTCC